GAGAACCAGCTTTTGGGTTTGTTGGTGCTCTCTATTGATTTCCAGTTATCAATTTCATTGATTTCTGCTCTAACCTTTATTATTTCTTTTCTCCTGCTTATTTTAGATTTAATTTGCCCTTAATTTTTTCTAGCTTCCTAAGGTAGAAGCTTAGATTATTGACTTTAGGTCTGTCTTCCTTTCTAATATATGCATTCATGCCATAAATTTCACAGGGTATAGAACTCTATTGTTGGGATTTTTTTCTTAAAGAAAAATTAAGGATATAATTTTTCAATATAATGCCGCAATATTGAATGCTCACATGCTGATTTTTTTATTTTTCTCACTGCAGGGCTGTTGTGTTTGTTGTGGATAGTGCAAGCTTCCAGCGGGAGGTGAAAGATGTAGCCGAATTTCTGTATCAAGTCCTCATTGACAGCATGGGTCTGAAGAACACACCATCATTCTTAATTGCCTGCAATAAGCAAGGTACCATCATATTTTCTGGCAGTAATAATTGAGTTTTTTCTGGGATTGCTATGGAGAATTAATACAGTTATCTAAAATTATCATTATTCAGGATGAGAGACAATTGCTGATGAGCTATAAATTGAAAGCTTTTAATTCTTATTTATACTCCTGCATTTATATTAGTCTTCTTATTAGGTTATTTTAAGGAATGACAAAGGAGTGACTGTTATAATTTTTTCTTTGAAACAGTGTTTTGCTTTTTTTAAATTATAAATCACTTTACCTAGTTAAGTTCATCAGATTGACAATATGTCATATCAAATACTTGATTGTGGAGGGACAGGTGGAGTCTCTCCTTTCAAACAAGTTTACCTTCCAGCGCATTTCATCAAGGGGAGTTTGCAGAAGTTGTTTTTTTAAACCTGATAGCCATTAAAAACTTTTTAGTCACACCCAATAAAACTAGGCTTCAGTTTCGTAACTTCTAAAATAAGATGGACTGGTTGATCTTTACAGGCCTCTTTCAGCTCTAAAATTCTGATTCTGTGAAGAACCCTAACTCATTTCTCAGAAGTGATCGGGTAATAAATCAGTCTTAGGATCATTACCTGACCTTCTCTTTATTTCTCCTATTCAGTATAACAAGGGGAGGTAATATTTATTTGGCTTCAGCTGTATGCCAAACCAGCGCTTGTTTCCTACCAATGTGCACTTGATGCTGTAAGATACCATTTTAATATCAGTTGGAAATATGTTTAGTAGTTTACTTTTATATGACAGGTAGGGTATTTCTGTTGGAGTGAAGGCTCTTATTAAAATCATAAAGCTGATAGGTTTTATTTTTGTTACACTGGCTGGATTTTTATATATGTTGATTTAAAAGGTCTGTAAGGTGTGGAAAACTTTCATGAAAGACCTAGTCAATTTTAGAGTCACTGGCTTAATATATTTGTAAGCATTACAGGAAAAACACATATGTCCAAATGTAAAGCTTACTTTGATAAGGAAGCTACTAGTGATACAAAGCTTTTTTAAAAAAAAAAAATGTGTGTGAGGGGGAGAAATTTACTGGTTTAGATAGGAATTTTCCATATGTACAAGAAGTCTTGGGAAAAGACCCTTTCTAGTTTAAACTTTAACAGTGTCTTTATTTCTTTATAGACATTACAATGGCAAAATCAGCAAAGTTAATTCAGCAGCAGCTTGAGAAAGAACTGTAAGTATGAATAAGTCCTCTTGGTTAATATTTGAATGACAGTTTTGCTGGGTATAATATTCTTGGTTGGCAGTTTTCTTTCTTTCAGAATTTTGAATATATCAACGTTTTAGTCTTAGGGGATTTCCCTTGTTTGTAACAGTTGGTTTTTGTCTTGCTTTCAAAATTCTTTCTTTGTCTTTGACTTCTGTCAGTTTGATTATAATGTGTCTCTGTGAAGCTCTCTTTAATCTATTTGGGGTTCTTTGGGCATAATGGATCTGGATGTTCATATCCCTCCCAAAATTTAGGGTTTTTCTGTCACTATTTCATTAAATAAGTTTTCAACTTCTTTTTCTTTTTCTTTCCCTTCTGGGCCTCCCATAATGATTTCCTGTAAGTTATGTGGGCTTTCTTCACTCTTTTTTCTTTTTGATATGCTCATTGGATAATTTCAAATTATCTCTGTGATTCTTTTTTCTGCTTGATCAAGCCTGCTGTTGAAGCTCTGAAATTTTTACATCAGTCATTGTGTTCTTCAGCTCCCGAGGTTTTTTTTGTTACTTTTTTTAATGATTTCTATCTTTCTGTTGAACTCCTTATTTTTCCCATGTATTGTTTCCTTCATTTTATTGAGTTGTCTGTGTTCTTTTGTAGCTCACTGAACTTTCAGATGATTATTTTGAATTCTTTGTCAGGCAGTTCATAGATCTTCATTTTTTTAGGCTTAATTATTGATGCTTTGTTTTGTTTCTTTGGTTGTATCATGTTTTCCTGATTTTTCATGATCTTTATGTCCTTGAAAAGGTAGGCACCTCTTCTAGTCCTTACAGACTGGCTTTGTAAGAGAACACCCTTCTTGCCCTTGCCAATGTGGCTCAGTTGGTCAGAGTAACATCCTGTGCACCAAAAGGGGGCAGGTTCAAGTCCGTGTCAGGGCACATACCCAGGTTGCAGATTTGATCTCTGGGTCGGGATGCATTCGGGAGGCAACCGATCAATGTTTCTCTCACACATCAATGTCTCTCCTCTCCCTCCCTCCCTCCTCTCTCCTTTCCTCTCTCTAAAGTCAATTTAAAAAGAGAGAGAGAGAGATAAAGCCCTTCTCTAGTTCAGCCAAAGATTTTGGGTGGGCTTGCTGCTAGAGTCCTTGGGCAGACTGGCCTGGCTGTTGGATCCATGGGCTGGTAGGTCTGCTGCTGAATGCTGGCCTGGCACCAGGGTCCACTTGGGCAGGCCTGTAGCATGAATCTGTCATGTCCAGCCAGGTGCCTTGGTCTGTTGGAGCTGGCCTTGTGCAGGGTTCCACTAGGGTAAGCCTGGAGCCTGGATCCAGGATCCAAAGGAGCGGGCCTGGGGCCACAGGGGCTTGGCCTGCTGCCAGCTTCCACAGCACAGTGGGTGCTCACTTCACTCTCCTTACCCCATGTGGAGTGTATCTCTCTGTGCTACACTGTGCAAGCTTGCAGAAGTAATATTGGTAATGTGAAACTGTCCTTTCCACCCTCTTCAATGCATCTTTTCTTATTTCTGTGCTACACCCAGGTGCTCTGACCTGGGTTCCATAGCTCTTATGAAGGTATTTTCGTGCATGGATGGTTTTTCAAATTAATGTTTCTGTGAGAGGACTTGTGCTGGAAACTTGAATTCTGCCTTCTTGCTTATGTCACTGTCAGTGGTTTCTCTCCCTTTTGAAACTGCATGTTCCCATACTCTTGATGATCACTCTCGAGACTATATATTGTCATTAGGCTAAGGAAATTGAAACAGTTAGGTGATGTGAGTTTTCCAAATATTGGGTTGTAATTGTTGGAAATTATCTTTGGAAAAAAGCAGTCATATTGTTTGTGTATTCTTTTCTTTAACAGTATAGTCCAAGTCTTCCCATGTTTAAAGCGCACGTTTTCCTTAGTTCTTTTGTTTTGCACTCTAAAGAGCCACAGAAAAATACAGAAGGAAATGCTGTATTGTAATGAAGTGAAAAAATGTTAAAAAGTTGTAAAAGTTAGTATCAGTTAAATGAGGAATGTAATTTTAGTTTAATCCTGTATTAGTGAGATGTAGGCTCTACTGGCTTTGAATCCTTACAGTCTTCTGAATAACAAGGTTTACTGTGTTTACATGGCATTATGGCAAGAGCTGAATACATACCATGTTTGGGGTTTTTCCTTTTAAGTTTTTTATTATAAAACATCTTATGTACAAAGGAATATTTATAACACAGGTACTGAGTTTAAAGAATACTAAAATGAATACTCATTAACCTACCACCTTGCTTAGGTGCTCCTTCCCAAAAGCCTTAGGCCCTATGTGCTCTTCCCAAGAGCTTTTCCCTTTTTTTCTCAAGAGATAATATCTTGATTTCGTATTTGTTTTTTAAAATACTTTTTCCATATATGTGTGTGTCTTTCTAAACAAGGTAGTGTTTAGTTTTTCCTGTGGATTCTTCACTAATTTTCATGCAATGTTATAGCAGCAAGAAATGCTTTATTTTGTAAGAAAGCATATTGGCAGCATGTATTCCTCTGCTTCTGGATAGCAGAAAGGGTGGGAGTAGACCGATGAACATTGCTTATGCACTGTATATTAGGGCCAGCAGGTGGCAGTAAGGCAATTTAAATTGCGAAGGTTTTAGTGGTTCAAGAGGTTGGAGAATAGTAATTGTGCCCATATAGGATGTGAGAATCTGAAGTTTGTGGATTTGTAAGCTCTATATCCAAAAAACTCAGGATAAATATAATTACCCTATCTACCCACACTTAAATTTCAGAAACTTACATTTTTATAACACAGCATATATTTAAAATATATATACATATTTTAAAATGGCATTGTGCAGGAGATCCTGGTGGAAGGGGGCACTGGGCTGAAAGAAGGTTGGTATGACCTGGGTCCTTTACTTCTGTCATCTAGCCATGTAAAGCTGGACCCCCGTCTCACCTTTTTGTCCAAGAGAGTGATCTATAAATGTATAGGATTATTCAACAGTCATAATCGTGTAATAGACAGTTTTATGGTTAAGTATTTAAATGAATGCTGAAATATTTAGGAAATAATTTTATTTTCTAAAGGCCTTTAATAGTGATATTAAAAATTAAACTCTTTTTGCTTCCTGACTCATTTTCGTTTTACCTCACAGCAACACTTTACGAGTCACCCGCTCTGCTGCCCCCAGCACACTGGACAGCTCCAGCGCAGCCCCTGCTCAGCTGGGAAAGAAAGGCAAAGAATTTGAATTCTCACAGTTGCCCCTCAAAGTGGAGTTCCTGGAGTGTAGTGCCAAGGGTGGAAGAGGGGACGCTGGCTCTGCTGACATCCAGGACTTGGAGAAATGGCTGGCTAAAATCGCCTGAGGGACAAATCCAAACCGCAAGCCATGAATGTGATGTGGTGATGGACAGTTTTGAAAAAGGGTGTAGTTAGAAACATTTCCTTGTTCTGGAAACAAATTATTGTTGAATCTAGCTTGGAATTTTTTTTAAGTTCAGTTCCCTTTATTGCTTTCAAACTTGTCACTTTTATTTGACTCGTGTGCCTTCCCTTTGTCAAATTGTATGTGACCTCCCTTCAGTGTATGCTTGATGTGGGTCAAGGTCTTTGTGACTGTAACAAGCAAACTCCACCTAGAGAAAATCATGAGAACATGGTTATCATCTGGAAAGTCTTGTCATCTTGTGCTTTCCTTCCCTTTTTCTTGTAAACAAATCTGTCTGTGTATGGAAACAGTTAATTTCCAGTTACCCTTGAAGTTCATGGACAGTACATCATCCAATCCTTTGTGAATTCTCAGACTTGTGCCTATAATTACAATATGGTCTCCCGACATGTGGAGACAGGTATAAAACAGCAAGGCTGTGTTGACAGTGAATCTGTTCTTCATCAGTTCAGTGACTTGTCCACACTCCACCCTCATAGCACTTAAGTTTCAAAAACATGTCATGAACCCTTGGAGTGAATCATTCCCAAATAGAACCGTAAGTACTAAATCCCCAAATTTCAAGGGTCTAGTGTGTTCTAGTGGTTTCCCGACTGGGGAGTATGTGGAGATTCAGAAGCTGTTGTGCTTTTCTGGGGGGCTGAGGGCTCCTGAGCTATCTTCATGTGCTGTTTGATCAGTCCTGTTGTGTACTCTTAGCTAGAATGCCATGGAACAAATACTAAGTGAAAGAAGTTCTCTGTGGGTTTTTAATGTGCATATTCACTGATGGTTAAAAAACAGTTGGCCTTTTCAAAGTGATAATTCTTTGCTGTCTTCTTAAATGTATGGCTTTTTTATTGCTTTTATAAATTATTAATATACTTCTTGGTAAATAAAACAACCTATTTGGCTGAAAGCAATGAAATAGAATGGTACAGTGAGTACAGATGGGAGTGTGTGTTAGGATTCCAGGGCCTAAAGATCACAGTGTACACCAGAACAAACTCTTCTATCCCTGCTTCACACACAGGGCCAAGCCCAGGTAAAGCTTAACGGGAGACAAGGGTGGCTATGGATAAGTGGGAAGCTAATCCCAGAACAGTGTGGTTAAGAGCCATAACAGGAGAGGTATAGGGTGCTCTGGGAGCACACATCAAGGGCACCTAACCTGGCCTTGAGGGATCAGGGAGAGTCAAAGAATAGAAGCATAGAGCTGACGTCCCAGTTGAGTATGGTCCCCATGCACACTGCAGCCCAAGCTGCCTGCTGTCACCCTTCCTATGGGCCACTCTAGCTCTGAATTAGGTACTCCAGTTCTGCCCCAGCCCCCAACCCTGTGTCATACACCATGTCGCTCATGTATGAAATAAACGCAAGCTGAAACGAGAAGACATTAGGCCCTGGCAGAGTTCTTTTTTGAAAGCCTCATTGCTACTAGTTTTTACTGTCCTTCGTACTCCTACATACTGCCCTTACTTGCCAAGTAGTAATTTAAGGAAGTAGCTAGGAATAGTGAACCAGAAACCAAAGAGCAATGCAATGAACAGAACATGTTGGCATAATCACAGGTGCTCATGTGAGTAAAAATCAATGGCTTTGGGCTGCTGTAAGAGGCCTGGGTTCCCTCAGCCTTGTGTGTGTGTGTGTGTGTTTCTGCTTAATAAAATTTTAATTTATTGGAGGAAGCAATTACACCAAAAAAGTAACTGAAGAAGGGGAGCACAGTTGAATTTTACTCAAGGGCTAAAGACTATCTGAAGAAGGAAAGTTATGTCTCAGACTGTGATTCTCTGATGTTAGCGTGCACCACAATTCTCTGTGATGCATGTTGAACAGCCGATCTGAGGACCCTGTTCCGAAACAGCCTCGGGATTCCTAGCATTTGCGGGTCAGGGCAATTCTGTGCTTGACCATGGCCTTTGTGTTCTCTTTGGATCGATCCCACAACCCTCCTGGCCTTCAGGGTGTCTTTTAGTCGAGATGACTGAGACCTGAAAGGGCCTCTCAGAAATCTTCTCTAATTGGTGTGGGGTGAAGTTGGAGGCGGCATGTGGCAGCTTGATGTCACCTAAAAGGTTGATTATGGTTCGTGTTAAATTCTTGCCTCTAAGTGGCTTCCTGGAAATCACCAGAAGGAAGAGAGATCCAGTTACTGCACCCACCCTTAACCTCCCCCAGCCATGGCAAGTGGAGAGCAGGGCTGATAGAAGGTATCACCCTGGAGGCTCCGTTCTGCCATGAGTTTCTCCGTCCATTAGCCTTAAGGTAGAATGGAGATTATGGAAATGAGTGTGTCCTACCTTTGCCCCTTTCCAGGGTGGAGAGCCCAGGTGAGTAGGAGGAAGGAGCAAAGGGCTTTGGGTGGTGGACATACATATACAGGAGGGTCTTCATGGAGCATACACTTGAAGGGTTTTTTCACACACACCCCTCCCTCCCCTCATATATGATTGCACCACTTAGAAACATCAGACAAGAAGCTTTGTGTTGAGAATTAGGACAGTTTATTGTTTGATCAACATGCTGAGTCTTCCACATTTTACACGGTTTTATGTAAAGTCGACGTGGCCATTTATGCCTGTTGAGCCAGCAAGAGATGGAAATGCCACCCTCCGTGCTCCTCATGGCTAGTCACTCCATGGGGGTGGGTGAGGGGAAGTGAGGGGAGAAACTGACACACACCGTGACAGGGACTGGCCTTCGATCTATGGAGACTTCCGCCTGAAGGAAGCATCCAAACCCTACTGCAAGGATCAACCGCACTCTGCCACAGTATCACCCACACAGGTCTGGTGTCCAGGGAGTTCACACATTGAGAGCCCAAGGTTTGGAACACCTAAATAGTTCATTTCAAACAAAAATTCAAAAGGTGCCCTGGTCTGTGGGTGCCCACAACAATCAGAGTGGACCCTGGGGACTGGCCCTTCTTTGCAATGGAGGAGCCTAAAACGTACGTGGATTCTTTCCTGGCTCGCTCAGATATGTTGGGCAGGATCTTGCGTCCTAACCAGAATAGAGGGCCTGAGGAACACCTGTGCACAGCAGCCCTTTATGTGCAAGTGCACAGTCACGTTTGTACACACAGGTGGGCGATGGACGAAGACGGGAACCTCTAGGTTCTGACCACTTCCAACTAGCTGGGTGACTGTAAGCAAGTCAACCTTCTCTGTCTTGGTTTCCCTGCCTGTGACACAGGAAGGGTTATGAGCCCTCTGCCTCACACTGCTGTGACCAGGTGACAGTGCCTCACATTCTCGGGGAAGAGGTAGTTTGGAAACCAGTGAGCACACACCCCTGCCTGGTTGATGCAGACTGACTTCTGTTTAGCTGCCCCTCACGTGGCTCAGACACGCCTCACAGTCCTCGGCTACCTGTTCTCACATCCCGACATCCCCGCCTACCTTCTGCTGTGTAAAGGGATGAAGCTGCTCTGCCAGCAGGACACCGAAGCCAGCGGTGCCATTATTGTCACACCTGGAACCTGAGCACTGGCGGGCCATCAGGAGGGTGGGGGCACTGCACTCAGGATGTGTCTGCACCCTTAGCTACCACGGCTGCAATCCTCGTTTCTGCCGCCTGAGACACTTGAACTGACCTGGCCACTGCTCCTGGGACCTGGGAGCAACACAGGATGTTTGAGGATGCTGACAGGAAGAGAGCGGTGACAATGAGAGCAGGGAGGCCTCTGGCAATAAAAACAAACACTTGCTTATAATCACAAGCGTGCTCACCGTGGCCTACACAACTGCACTTCTAGCACTCAAGGTGTTTCCATCACACTTTCATTCTGGAGTGCATACATTTCAAATACACTATCTGCCTTTTCTATCTTAGGCTTAATTTTTCAGTGCCTGCAAAATAGGAGCTTTACTGACGGCTTTCCTTTGACATCCGCCCCCCAAAAGACCTAAATAAGATGACCCCACTCATCTCCCAAAGTCAGGGATAGTCTTTGAGGAGAGGGACTGAACTGCTGGCTAAACTGAGATCATTTCCTAACAGGAGTCCTCCACTTTGCCTTGTGCTGGCCCATCTGGATTTGGCAAAGATGTAAGTCACTGGGGATGCTGAGGCAATTTCAGGACATCATCTTCAAGGGAACCTGACCGTTTTATTACTGAACCTGAACTCTGAGTCAAGATCCTACCTACAAGCAAGAGGACAGTGATGGCACCTGCTCAGAATGAGAGCCAAAGAACAGTGCACTTCTGTGCAAGAGATCTGGCTGCCCTGACAGGCGCCAGGAAATGAGGGGTGGAAGTCGGGGTTGAGGAGGGGAAGATCATGGAATGGGGCGGCACCACCAAGATAGGAGGACAAGAGGGGGCAACTGCCCTCACCTTCAGAGGCCCACAGGGCTGGGGAGAGCCCGGATTCCAAAGAGGGGATGTTGTGTACCTGCTAGGAAAGGCGGGGCTCATGGAGACCACGTCAAGCCAAACAATACCTACTGTGTCTCTTACTGCTCCTGTAGGCTGTGATGGAATAAAGAATTCATGGTGCCTTGGATGTGTGCGCACATGAGAAGGGAAGTGAGTTTCTACTTTTTATTTTTACAGGAATGTTTTAAGAAAAGCTACTCTTTAGTACCAAGAAAATAAAAATCCACCATACATTCATTCACTGAGACCCAGTGCAGATCCCTGCAAATGGGGCTGTCCCAGAGGCCACAAGCAATGGCCCTCACTGCCACCCAGGCCGGATGCTGTCACAGGGGCTCCTATAAATTCTCACGAGGTAAGTAAGCACTTCCAACAAGCACCACTTGGGGGTGTGCCATGGTGGGGGGTGCTGGCCCACGTGGCATGCACACCCGTGCATATAAGTACATAGAAGGAGAAATGGTGCACATATTCCCGTGGGCTATTGTTGCCTGTAGTTTAACACATCTATGTAGTTATTTTATTGATGGCAAGACAATCACAAGTTTTTTTGACAATATTAAGTACTTATTTCAACACATTGCAGTACTTTTGAATTTTTAAAACTGTTATCACAATGCAATTTCCAACTTGAGAGTGGGAAAAACAAGAATATACGTTGAGCACATGTACCTCTGTGAGAATGTGTGTGTGGAAGGTGTATACACAAGTCTATCTCTATATAATTATGTACACACATAGAAAAACTAAACACACGACATTGGAATTATGCTCGTATGTTGGTCTTTGCCTCTAGGAAGAGGAGCTCAGTGGGAATTCTGCTTCCTCTTTTCTTCACCTGAAGATAAAACTCTCTTTAAAGAACAGCTGACATACAGTCTCCTTAGCTGAAAGTATGTGGCAGGCCCACTGGACAAAGAGTGAGTCCTGCACTTGCTGCCATTTTGGACTCATTTCTGAGAAGTTCCAAAATCCACTGCAATAATTTGTTGAAGCACTGCTTTGGGGAACAATTCAGCCCCTATCACACCCCAGATGGTCACTTAGCTCACCTGTGACATGCCCAACAGCAGCCTGAAGGATGAGTCAATGCCGGCTTGGAGGGCAGAGTTTATTGTTTTGGGCCACAGTTGCTATCTACTGCCTGGCTTTGTGCAGGCTCAGGGTTGGTGAGTCTGGGTCTCTTTGGAATACAGGCCAAGGGGGTTACATCACTTGGTGAGAAGAGAGAGTTCTCCTCAGAGATTTTATAGGCTCTCAGACTTAGCCCTTCTCAGAACTGAGTCAAAGATGGCAAAGACGGCTCTCTCTGGGCAGCTTTCTGGAGACCCAACCTCAGCCCCACTCTCAGGTAACCGGAGTGTGGGTACAACATCCACAAAGGATTACGTGCAAATATTTCAACTGCACAGTGCCAGTGTGGCAAAAACACATCAGAAGTCAGCTTTTCCAGAACAGCACTCAACAGTATTAGCAACCGAAGACCCGAGGACAAGCATCTTCAAGGTGGTGCTCCTGCAGGCAACCCTTCCTGAGGGCGCACAATGAATCTCTTTGCTCTTCCCTTAGATTCAACCCAGATATGTGTGCTGAATGCTGGGCCAGTTAGTTAAAACATTTTCAGAAGTACACACAGTGCCCCAAGTGTATGAACCAACCACACATCGACACTGCCCACACTTGCCAGCAGCACCCCGTCCTTCCTTCCAATGACCTCTTGCTCTGCCAATCACTGGGAGGGCCACAGAGAACACAAGGTTGCCTGTGGCAAGTGCCCTGCACCACCTTCAAGGTTTTTCAGGGAGGGAAAGGAGAGGCAGAAATAACTGCAATGGGGCCTGCTGTTGGGCCCCCAGCAGTTCACAAGACCTTAATGTCTTCTCGGGGCCATGCCTGATGTCCCACTCTGGCCACGGAAGGACAGAGTCAGAGCTGCCTTCACAGAGGCTGTTTTGTTCAGTGTTTGATTTAACCAGGTAGGACCTGTTTGGTGGAGCCTGGTTGGTCTGGGCCAGATGGTCCGGGATTAGAGTCTAATTAGGTTGCCCAGTTAATGTTTTAGTTTATTGGGCTGGGGGGCAGGAGGAGGGCAGAGGTGATAAACAGTTTAAAGGGGACAGGAAGGAGGAGGTGTGTGGAAAAGGTTCTCTGTAAGTTTACAAATATACAAAAACAAAAAAAGCACATCTTTCAAATAAAAATGACTACATTTTTATCTGGCAAAAAGTTGTATACACATGATTTAAATTTTTTTTAAATTTTAACAGTTTTTGGCAATCTTAATAAAGTACAATATATTACAACAAAACAAAAAAATAGTTGTTTAAGTAACAGCTGTTAAGAGTGACGTGATCCCTGATGCCCAGCCTCCCTCCCCACCCCA